CAGTGGCATGAGAGAATATTCATTCGCCAGCAAAGGTAATCTTAGAAGCTTGGACATCTTACAGAATCCTGCTTCCCCACCTGCTCGTGGAGAACCAATTACTCTGTTTGAGTTGTATGCCATGCACTCGAAGGGTGTAACTTGCCTCACCATCAAGCAAGCCGATCTAGGTTGGGACGTCAATAATAAGTGCATCTCTGCAGTTGTGGCTGATAGAGTTGGAGCTGTTACTATCGATACATTGAAGGAAATCGGTACCGCGCCAATTGCATCTGAGTCAGGCGAAACAGCACCAGAGCCTTCACCTGCGCCAGTCCCTACTCCTACTAGGATTATTCAACGCCCAGCTGCCAAGGACAGCTCTCCTAAGGAAACGAAGAAGGTTGCGCAGACTGAGCCATCTTCTTCAATGCCCAAGGCTGAAGAGAAGGCCGAGAAAAAGGAAGCTCCGGTCGCACTTGCCAACGGCAGTATAGCCGGCGCTAGCGGAACTGAAAATAAAGCCGAAAAGAAGAAGCGACGAAAGGCCAACTCCAATTCCGAATCTTTATCAAATTCCTCTCAAACCAAAAACATCGCAACAGAGAATAATTTAGCTTCTAGAAACAACAGTACTTCTCGCGCAAATATGAATACTATCCCAGATGTTGGCAGCTCTTCAAGCTTGTCAGCACCTGGTTTGACGGATGAAGTTCTCAAGGAGATTGAAGGTCGCGTTTCTGGAGAAGTGAAAAAATTGCTCAATGATTCCTTTAACACTTTGGATCAAAGAATCAAGGATGACAGACGCACCCAAACTGCCGTCGCCGATGCCAAGCAGGATGCTGTCCTTCGTCTTGTCTCTAGCACTCTTACTGGCAATATGGAAGAATCATTGAAGCGCATTGTCAATGGCGCTTTGGAAAATTCTATTGTTCCTTCCATCGAAAACATCACCTTGAAGACCGTGGATCAACGAGTTGCTCCGGCTATTGTTAGTCACTTGAATCAAACCTTGCCAAGAGAATTGCAAAAGGTCCTTCCAGATGCTGTCAACAAGGTCATGCAACAACCTCAACTTTTGAAGCTGATGTCAGAAACCTTGGCAAAGAGTGTTTCCTTCTCTTTCGAAGAGCAATTTGCTACTCTCTTGAACAACAGCATCACTCCCGCTTTTACCCAATTGGCCGTCAACACTTCTCAGCGTGTCGCAGCTGATGTTCATCGCCAAGCACAAGAGCAGATTGGTAACATTGAACGTCAACGACATGCCGATAGCCTTAAGATCGAACAATTGACTCAACTTGTCCACGGCTTGACTGAGACCATTTCATCCATGGCTGCTGCACAATCTGACTTCCAAGCTCAATTCTTGCGTGTTCAACAGAGAGATAGACAGGGTTCATCTCACCGTGCTAGCCCTGGAATAGGTCACAACTCCAGCAGACCTTCTGTTTCCTCAGCACTCGCAGCTCCTCCTGTTGTCGAGGAGAAGTCGCCACAGGAGCTTGAGTATGAGGAGATGTTCAAGCACATTCAAGCCCCTATGCAAGAGGGTAGATTCGAAGATGCTGTTGTCCGTTGGTTGCAAACTGGTAGAGAGCAAGAGTTCTTTGCAAGATACTTCTGCAGATTCTCTCCAAAGTTCATCACTGAGCTCAGCCCACTTTTGCTCCTCAGCCTCGGCGCTATCATCACCATTGAGTTGACTGATGATCTTATGAATCAGCGTCTTGCCTGGACCGAAACCATCTTGAATTCCTTCCAGATCAAGATGGTCAGTGGATATCTTGTAAGTTTCATGTACTTCTTTGATATTTATTGTATACTAATATTATTTGTAGGATGATCAAGTCGCCGATCTGGTTCCTAAGATCATGAACATTTATATTCAACGCCTCGAACATCTCTTTATGCGTATTACCAACGTTGCTCCTGCCGACCCCCTCCTCAAGCAACTTTCTCAGATGGTTTCCACTGCCAATCGCATTTTGGAGCTCTATCGTGAGCAACCATCTTCTCGCCACATGGCCGGCTTTTCTCAATAAGAGCGTCCGCGGCATTACGAATAATCATTTTATACACACTCCAGACATCTTTTTTTGAGGGGTGGCCAGTTTGCGGAGGAGGTTTCCTAAATTTCCAGCAGCTGCGCCAAATCTCTTCATTGAGACATTTCTAGTTCTTTATTATGCTTATTACTAAACCAAATATCGAACACTGTTACGGCCTTTTCGCAAATAGCATTGGCTCTCGAGATACTGGAATGTTCTCAGCCTTGCTATCCATCAATTCTTTTTCTGCGGACCTTCCGGCTTTATGTTCACATGTCATTTTCAAAAATTTCTTTTTCTTGACTTTCTTTCAACTTATTTTTTGTGCCAATACCAGCGAACAAAATCGCGTTTCTGCCTATGTTTTCTACTACCTACATTTTCAGGCGCATGAGCGACATACAAAACACTATCTGGTTATGAAAACTTCATACTTCGGTCGGTAGGGGGAGCTATTGGTTGGCTCGGGTCGCTGAAAAGGGTTCTCTAATGGCTGTTCTGATCTTACGATATGATACCATCTGGGGATTTCATGGGACTTTCTTTTTCTTTTTCCCGAACAATATCTGATATGGATGTGGATGGGGGAGGGAAATGGACGATTATTATGGAATGAATGAATGGATGGGTGGATTTTCATGCGACCCTGGCTCACCTCAGCCTGGATTTCGCTTGGTCTTCGATTAAATCTGAAGACACTTGCGAGCTATACCCTTGACGCCCTGGAATGAAATGATTGTGGTGGAGCTTCATTTGTGTGTATTTTAGACTCGGGGAACTTCTTTAAAGAAGACTTCGAGAAAAGACATGATTATTGGGCTAGTGAATACTATTCATTGCATTTATTACATACTTGTGCATCTTCATGTAACGTGAATGGGGTGACTGTGTGCTGTAATTTGATCAGCATCGAGTGTTGCATAGACTTCAGTGGGTGATGTGGAGGTAGATTAAACACGAGTGATGAGGTGCAGATGTGAGGAGCGTAGGTCATTTACCAGAGAGGTACAGAGAAGTATTTCCCAGGCGGCGCTCGTAAGATGATTGGATTCTGATAGGCTACTTGAATGCCAGCTGGAGACAACATCTTATCGTAGAAGTCCATTTTGCGAGTTTGTTGACAATATTACCAAGTGGATGAAAATTGTCTTTAGCTGCTATGACACCACTGGAATTCCCGAAAATATACTGTTTCTTGAGGCGAATATCATGACTTCCTAGAGGCACTTGCTCTGAAAGGGCTCATCACTGAAAGATGCTCATATAGGTAGGGTAGATACCTGCTATCACATGGTAAACAGGCTTCGCTTACCACGCTGCAGAATTGTTATTTCAAAGATTGGAGAGTGAAAAAGCGGCTTAGGTGGACTTTTGGGCTGAATTGGGCATTTGTGAGAGCCAGTTACCCGATCCGCCTACGAAATATTGTAAGTTAAGTACAGTTTAGTTGATGCGGTGATGAATTTAATAATGCTAGACTTTCCTTTGGGCCTTGGCTGTTTCTGGTCCAATAATATATAAACCTAACCTAATCAGCCAATTTAGAACACTGGGCTTGCCGATTATTCCTCTTAGCTAGTTAGACCAGGCCACGGATCAACTGATGGTAATCGTGCTAATCGTGCGTGTTAACCGATAGGGCGTAGACTATTAGATCAAGGATATTGCGATGATCCTTTGTGGAAAGGGAGAAGGAAATGTGTAGTCAACAACCCCTTTTTCAAAATATTGGCACTCAACCCTGGGATTACATGAAACATACCACAAACAACTTCCCCCTGTCCTAAGTATTTTAGAACCTGCCTACCATTCCCCGAGCGAACAAATCCCGCACGTGTATCATCCCGTAAAAATCTCTAGTTACATCGCTCGCCAAGTTCCAACCGACTCATCAACTCGGAATGATTATCGGAGTCTTTCATCCGATGGTCGCGACCGAATTATCTTGGTTGAAGAAGAGATTCCGGAAGAAATGAGTATCATACAATTGGACGCCGCATTCTTGGCATCATGTATCAGATATCGAGCTGGTATAAGTGCTGACTGGGTGGGGCATCGAAATGTCTCCCTTTCCAGGAGAGGAAGTTAACAATGTGCCTAGGTGGAGAAAGGTTACGCAAGGAGAGGGAAGATACTTTGCGGGAGATATCGCAAGAAACCTGCAAATTTCCGATGAGACCATTTTCATCCTTATTCCAACTCCTTTTCCCCACCCAAATCCACGAAATCTACCTTTCCTCCACCCAAAAAGCGACTCCAGAACTTCGCCCGCTCCCTAGCCGCATCTAGACCACAATCTCACCCCAATCTACCCCACAACCCCACACTCATCGCGATCCGAACCCAGACCGGAAGACTGATCCCCAACATAGCACCAAAATCAATGCTTTTCCTTCCCGCACTGCCCTTGATCTTCCTCTCAATTCTGACGTCCCACGCCTTCTAATACCACCATGCCCCCCTCCTGTTCCCACAAAAACTCCGCTTCTCTCCACTTCTTGATCGAAAGGGGATGGAAGGGTACAGAGAGGTGTCTTTGTTGCACATCGCATTTTGTGGGCCGTGACACTTGTGTTGATTATGGCTTGCTTCGGGGGTTGGCTGGGGCTGAAGGGCTGAGATGTGGTGAGGGGGTTGAGGGGGTTGAGTTTATTGTTTCGATAGGGGTTCAGACGCTCTCGGCATATGTGGTGTATCTTTGTATTTTTGTTCATGTTTTTATTTCTTTTATTTATTTGTGACAAGAAGAGGTTTAATGTTTAAATCCGTATCGATTTGAATAAAAGACTTAAGAAAAGTATTCTTGAGTTTTTCTTTTTCTTAGAATGTTAGAAGGTAAGAAGATTTTCTATTATCGCTGAAGAAAATATTATACTATCAAAAGTTGTGAGATTATTCCACATGTATCTTTTTGGTAGTAACTAATGATACTTTGCCTTTTCAACAAACTAACATTCAATGTCCTAATTAATACATCCAATAATTTCCAATCTGTCTTAGATCATCAACCAAAGCTGGTGGGTTATCCAATCCCGGAAAGTGTCCACCGAAGTTATGATCTACGATCTCGTTAGCAGGAAGAAGGGAATAGCGCCACGAGAATTGCATTGGAAGAGTCAAGAAAGAGAGAGACTCACAATTATAAGTCACTAAGTTTCCCACCCATGAGACTACCTTTTCTGTCCAGAATGCACCGCTGTATTTGAAGCTGCTAAACAGCATTGGTGCATCGGTTTGCGCCTTGCTGTAGCTTGAACTATACGCGTCGGTATTTTGCGGGTAGGTGAAAATAGATGATACGAAAGACTTGGTTAAGAAGTAGAGAGAGACTTGGCGAAGGATTTCATTGTGTGTGAGGACAGATGGTGATGTTCCTGCTTGTGGGTCGGACCCTTTAGGTTGTTTCAGCTTGAGATACAAACGGAAGATAGGGGGGGTTGAAAATCTTACAAGAGATATATTTCTCTGCCATCCAGGACAATTGTCCGACGGGGTTATCGTGGAGCGCTAATCCGATGGTGTTGGTCTGTTTATCGATTCAGTTTGTATTTTTAGTTTTATTTGAAAAGGAATAATATCAGGATAGTACTCCTGCATAGAATTCTTACCTTGGTACTGTGTTCGATGACATACCCTGTGTTGAAACCCAGGACCAGATTTTCCTGGAACTCCTCATCCGCATCGAGAGTGATGTTGTATTTGGGGAACTCGACCGGACTTAATGGAAGGAATGGTATACCGGTAAGATGAACTGCGCGTACTGACTTGTTGAAATTGTTGTATAAGTTGTGTGCTACATTACTACCAAAGTCTGACCCATGAGCAGCATAAGTCTCATATCCCAACACATCAGTCATCAAAGTGTTGAAAATGCGTGCTGTATCGTTTAGCGTCCAGGTGGCAGGTGGTGCACTGGAGAATGCGTAACCTGGTAGTGAAGGGACCACGACATGGAAGGAAGCTGAGGTTCTATTGGATGTGCTGGATGCTGTCGTTAACGGGTCTATCACTGGAAGAAAATCCATGAAAGTTCCAGGCCATCCATGGTTTGGGATAAGCGGTATTGCGTTTGGCTCACTAGACTTCTGGTGGACAAAATGGATCGTTAAGCCTTCGATAGTTGTTGTGTAATGATTGTACCTATCAAATCATTAAATACATGAACATATGCTTATTATGATTAACTAGGATATAATAACCGGTTCAAATCAGCCTGCTCGGTAGCTCAATCAAAAGTGGTAGTCCATTCCTTCTGCATCGATTTTAACAACGTTCAGATCAATGCCGAGCGAGCCACCGAGTCCAGGATATTCCTCGACGGCCGGTAGTTGGGTTTGGGCTACCAGTTGAAGCATTCGATGTGGCTCTAAGTCGATTGTAAAATCCTTAACTTGGGCGAGCGCCACACGACCGGTTAAGAACCCTAAGGGAATATTCATTGACTGGAACAGCTGCATCTTCTTAATTTACAACGGAAAAGTTATATTAATATCGAGTGCTGGATTTTACTCTTCTAGAAGTGCAGAAAATCCATCTTTATACATTATCCCCAAATAGAATTTGCTCATCTTACGCGTTGTTGATTGTTTGAATGTGAGGATTATTGGCTCGCTTCGAATTCTCCAACAGTTGTTTCCAACAGTTGAAAAACATACATATACGTAAGACGCGAGCCCTTGCTGTCTGATGTGAGAAAAGTAGACTACAGAGTAGTAACTAAGGCAGTGTATATTGAGTACATGATTATATTAGATTAAACTAAGCTAGGGGTATGGATAATTATATCTCCGTGTAACTTAGATCTTTCAAGAAGCGCAATAAGATATCACAAAAGATTTAGGAGAGAAAAACGGGGATAAATAGTTAGCACGGGAATTCTGCTCCATTATATTGCATATGGAGTATTCTATACCTTATATAGATCACACTGTGTCGAGCAGAAAATATAGCTTGTTATTTAAGATAAGATTTTATATTTTCCGGCATCACTCTGTGTCACACGCTTTTGTCTTGGACACTCTACTTATTAGAGATCCACGACATGAGAGATCTGTACTTCTGAGATTATCACAATCATATTCATACGTTCAATGTGAGATCAAAATAATTAGTAAGTTGGTATATGTGCTGAAATAAAGATTGTGCAGCAAATCAAAAATGTGATGAAATTTCCCTGTATCTGAGCTCTGTAATATTTCAACGTGCTGGATTTGTACGAGTACGATTCAATTTTGTTCTACACATGGTGTCTATTATATATGACCAATCTTCGATCTAAAACATGCACGAATTGCTGCTCATGGCAATCTGTACAGGAAATCTCCCCCATTTCCAATCCTATCCAATCTATCTTCTCTATATCGCGCGTCTCACTTCTTGCGTAGACATCCATACTTCTTATCCGCCATCACCTCTTCAGTGGTAGTATCCCCGTCATCGTCAACAATCAATCCCAAATGCGAGGAGGATACCTCTCGGACTCTTATCATCTTTTTGTATGTATCAACCCTCTCAATTCCAGCACATGTATTATCAAGATTTGAAGATGGCGGAGAGTTGATTGCAAGTACGAGAATCTCAGTGAGTGACTTGAGAATATTGTTTGTGTATCCGTGCCGAAAAACGAGCGCCGCGTGTATCAGGGCTAATAACATGTGTAGAACAAGAATGGCTACTGCCAAACGTCTCGTGGAGCCTTGAAGAGAGTAACTGTAGCCATAACGGAAGCGCTTGATGTGGATATCTGTGACGTCTTTGGGAACATTGGATAAATTAGTAAAGTTGTGGTTCGGTGCCACTGTAGGAATCAAGACTTTGAAACCTATGTTCATCATATATGGAATCCTTGACATTGCATCTGACATAAAGGCTGTCGCGATCATACCCAATGGATTATCGTTATTGATGCCAAATGACGAGGATGCCAGAGGCAATACTATATCGTTCGGTGGCAAGGCGACATTTGCCCACTCGGCATCTATTTGTACTGTACGCATGGTTTTTGTTGTATTGTTAAAATCTTGCATCCAATCATCAAGACTCTGTGTTGGATTGGTGGTGCTAGGTGAGTGAATATACCGATCTCTTGTGGGGTCAATGTAGAGTTTAGACGCCTGCCACCCAGCAAACAAGGAACACGAGGAAATACGAACAAGGTACCAAGTCTGTCTATTAGTGATGGAAGTAAGGTTGTTCTGCACACCTAACCCTCCTTCATAATGATCAAATATCACGACCCCTATGGACGGAGAGTTGGCGGTCTTATTTTTTGACTGCATCCATGTCGCTGAGGGCCCTCCCCGAGCGCTATTCCACATCTCGAGTGCATTCCGAACTTCTGATTGCCCATATTTACCCTGAGACGTATCTCTGTTTAAGAATGGCAGTGATAGATCATCGAGCGTCTTGTATCCTTTGATTGATCCATTTGTTATGTTGTAGTTCCTGCCTATGCAAGCTGCGACTACCTGTGGTGCAGGAGGATCTTCGCCGTTAATCATTACTTGAAATCTGGACGTTTCGTTTTGTGATCCTACCATCTGGGCAACTGATGTGACAAGTGAGCCTGTTGGTACAGATACAGTTTGACTCAAACACCAAGTATATATATTATAAAAGCCATCAATCTTTAGAGCTCTTTGAAAGCTTGATGCGCCGCCAATGAATCGATCGTAAAAAGCTTGTTTTGAGTTCATTGGCATGGTAATGTTCCACGAATACTGTGATTCTTGTGAACTGGGTCTGTCAGCCCATGCCCGGATTGCCGAGAAGCCACCTGCTGCGCAATTGTCTGAGAATTTATTAGACTCGAAAGTGCATAACGTGTCAAAGCTCGAATTGTCGACCTATTTAGGCCAAACTTGAGACTTTTCTGCGTTTAGGGTAAAATGGGTAGTAGACCAGGTCGAATATTCTGTCGTTGGGACAATCCACCAGTCCAGGGATGGCAACATCAATATTGCAGACGCAGGTCCAGAGACGGCAGCTAAGATCATAGCAAAGAGCTTCATGACAACAAACAATAAGCGACGCTTGAAATGATGTCCATATGTACCTGCAGCCCACAACTCCGGGCCGAGAAGCGACCCAAGATCAGTGACTCTGAAAGCGATGAGAAACCCACCAAGTGGTATTCCTTGACGTAAAGCTTCATGCTGTAAAAAAGACAATATGATTGTTGACAAAGAAATCCCGATAAGTATCTCATGGACTTTAGCTACGAATTGCAGTCCGTTAAGCCGAGTATTTACTTCTGCATCAGCATTACCCAATGAGTTCGCGTATATTTCGTGCCCATTCAAGAAAAATAAAGTAATAGTGATCATGATAGGTAGTACATGTATACCGGTTCTTTGGAGCGCTTTCCGTCTGTCCTTCCAAACTGCTACTTTCGGCTTCTCAGCCTCCTCCTTGACATTTTTGATTGGAACGAGAAGAGATGGGAAAGACATTGAAATGAATCGAGGAAGGAAGAAGTGACGTTCTAATCAAGGCTTGTGGAACGGATAGTTTGGTGAACGAACATTTTGCTGGTCAATGTCGAACAGAAATTACTTTATATGATTGTGTTTACTGTGCCTTACACTTGAGTGATGAACCATTATTCTCAAGGCAGAAAACTAATCCTTTTTCTTAGAATATTTCAGCGGTGTCATCCGGGCGTGTAGCTGAAAGCCTGATAGTTGATCGATGGGGGCGAAACCCAGGGAGACAGAACTACCAATGGCCTTTGCAATACCTGGATGGAAGATTCTTGCCAGATTTGAAAATCTTAGATAAGCAGCGAAGAACAATGGCTCACCGGTATCGAATACTCGAGTAGAGGCATACATATCTCAAGGCTAAGGTGGCACATGGCGACACACTTGTCAGCCCTGATTAATCGTCGGAGCCCTTGGATTATGCATATCTTCAAAGTCTTTATGCTTGTCGGTACATTTATAAATCCACAGGCTGACAAGAAGTACATGAAACGTAGCGATGAAGACTTGAGATGGGGAAATTCACAGGGAGCGCCCACTCGTACCAAATGATTGGAAAATCAAAGCCTTGAGTGTCTGATATCACGATTGGGAGGATCATAGCATCAATGCCATGCTGTGCCATAATGATCCTGAAACGATGAATATGAGGAGAAAGATGTTGTGCTTATGGAGCGTTGGCAAGGCGTCATGATTCCAGAAATCTGCTTTCCTCAGAGCGACCTTTACCTTGAAATTAACGATGAGAACGCATTCACCACTTGATGTCGTCGTCTTCGTCTTTGTATTTTCCTTTCACTAAAAATATAAGAATCCTCAAGTACACCATCTTATCTCGCATGTCACATCATCCAACCAATCACTATCAACAAGCATCCCCACCTCCAAAGCCATGGGAGCTAAATCCCTACCACCAATCGCCATCCGCCATCCTCTTAAAATGAAGCTTCTTCACCGCCCCGTCCAACCACCTTAAACCACGAATTCATCAACTTCTTTCTCACACCCTCACCTCCTCTTTTTCCTCACCTCTCACAAGCTTCATATTCTGATAGTCTGGGTCCATCTTTCCATTAAGGCCCATCCTATACTTGTTCGAGACATACATACATATACATACATACATACGCACAACATATCTGCATATATCTCGAAAATCCGGGCTTCAATCGATTGATCTGATTAATTAAGGATAAGGATACAAACACCGACTCCGCAGAAATGGAGCGATACCCCACACCTCCCTCCACGAGTTCTCCCAAACACGGATATCACGATGATCATAACTTAAGAGGGGCACGAAACGAAGCTCCAGCGTCATATGCTTTCCACAACGATCACAACGATCATAAATCTACCATCTATTCTTCCTTCACAAATGCATCGACTATCGTTCCTGCCTCCACAGAAGCATGGGCGTCCGGTTATCCAGCTACTAGTTCCAGTAAACCCATCGACAAACACCCCCAAGATTTCTTCGGCATCACATCTCAAGACCCATCTTATAATCACCCCAATCCAATTCAATTTGCCGGTCCTCCCCTCCCTACCACCACCGAATCTTTCAGAACGCAAGGCCCCAATGCAAAAAGTTACAGCTATGACAATGTTCCACTAGCCCATCGACCCGCCCAAGAAACCTACTGGCAAACAACATCCGACCCCGTTTCTCCCTCCCAAATCCCCCAAACCCACCCTTACCCCGAAACCTACAATCCCTCGCACCCCTCCCATCCCGGACCTCCTCCCCGCCGCTCCAGCTCTCCCATCCCCAACACTGTCCCCTCCATAGCCGGCACAAACCCCTACTACAACCCCCCCTCCCAAACCTCTCAATCCTATCCCCAACCCCAACCTCAGCCTATCCGCCGCCGCTCCTCTCCCATCCCAGGTCGCATCTCCTCCCCTCTCAAAAGACCTCTCTCCCCCTACTCTCTCTCCCGTCCTAAACCTCGTCCTGGTTTTGTAAGACGCGTTGCCTCGCGCTTCACATCCTGGATCCGCTCTCTCTTCTCCTGGATACGAGCAAATCCTATCAAAACCGGTTTATTATCCTTCATCCCCATTTTACTCGGGACCGGAGTAGTCAAAACCGTGAAAGGAGTGAAGCATTTCCTTGGAAATCGGGCTTCTAAGAGAAAGGAGAAGAAACACGAACACAAACTTGAGAAAGAAGCAAAGAAGTTGGAAAAGAAATGGCACGAGGATATATTCGGGGATTTTAAGGGATTTGCAGGGACTAAGGGTGGACCGCTGAATGGGATATTGAAAATTGTTCATTTGTTGGTGTAAGTCATTTTTCTATGCTTTTTCGCCTTGCGTACTCTATTTCTTCTTCCTACTTGTTCTTTCTTATCGCCACCTCAAAACACCATGGTTATTTTCCTGAACCCATCGGTCCCGAAGAGTCAAAATCAGATGACCTCCTTTTTCCTCTTTTCCTTCCAACTATTGCGCCAACCTGAAACCTCCCATTCCTCATCTCCTTTCTTCAAATCTAACTCCATACAGAAACCACTACTGCAGACTCACGCCCTCCAACTTCCCCCGCGCAGCCTCTATCCTCCTCGAACTCTATTTTCTCGACATGAAGAATCTCTAGTCTATTTTCGCCAACTTAGAAACCGTCTATTTTTCTCTCTTGCTATATTTTCCTTATCTCATCTTATTTCCCATTCTAACGACCAAAATGTAAACCCGTTCCAAAATCCATGATATCTCATCATATTTCCTTTCCTTTCCTTTCCTGTCCTGTCCTTTCCTTTCCTTTCCTTGACCTTTTAACGACCTAACGCATGATACATAACGCATAACGCAGAAACGACACATGAAGCATGAACGAAGCATGAAGGAATTAGAACGGTAGCCTAGGTATATAACATCATAACCTCGAAAACTTCAAACAAGAACTCGCCGCTCGCGGCTTTAATGATAAAACAAAATGACCACCAAAATACATATTCTTTTTCCCGTGTCCTTGTCCGTGATTTCGTAACGTGTTCGAAAGGTAAACTCCCATCCAATTGCGTCTTTGATTCCCGTTCTGGTGAAAGGATCCCAAACTCCGAATTCTCGCTTGATGCCTGTCTGGAGTCGTGTGTAAAATATATGTAATATATGTATGTTTATTTAACGACAAAACGGAAGTAAGAAGATATACATAAAAAAAGTCGTCGCTGAAAATAACACAATGAGCAAACCCCGCTCAAGGAATAGGAAAATCCGAGTCTCCATTGCATGTGACATCTGAAGAACTTCCATTTGTGCGATTCTTCTTCGAAGGACTCCTCGACGAGACTGTTGTGCTCTTTTTAGAAACATTCTTCCCCGAAGGATTCCCATTTTTAGATTTCGCACAGTGTGTATGTGGATTTGAGAGATTCGTCGTACGTGATGGATTCTCCGTCCGAGTTTCTGAATTCGAATTCTGCGTCTCGCTCTCAGTCTGCGGATACCTAGCGACCAATGTCTCGATCTGTTTGAGCATATCGTGGATCCGATACGGTTTTGTCGTTACATCATCCATGCCCGCTTCGATCGTGCTCATTATTTGATCTATTCCAGAATCACATGATTGATTAGCGTCAAGTTCCAGTCCTGTCCGTTTACAACCCCATTTGTATCTAACCCAACCTATCTGGATTTATAGCGGGATTGGAAACACATAGTGTATATAACGAATGAATTATATAGATAGAAGAGTAAAAGCCTACCTTTCCTGGCATTGGCCGTTACAGCAATGATCGGGACATGTCCTTTTATCATGCCCTGAGCCTCCCACTTCCGGATCTGTCTTACACAAGTGATACCATCCATGATGGGCATTTCCAAATCCATGAGTATGAGGTTGAGTGGTTGTTTCTAAATAGTACGTGTTAGTGATATACATTCTTGTTCCTACTGCCAAATCATTTCCCACTGGCACTCTGCATACTTACCCACTAGTGCCGAAAAGTCGTAAAAAAACAGGGGGTGTTAAGAAAAAGGAAAGTACATACGGAGTTCTCTTCCTCGCCACCATCCCCAACCCAGAATGTCGTCTCTATGAGGAATTCTAATGCTTCTCCACCATGATTTGCAACATTGACCCCATATCCTTCTTTCCTCAAACTTTTCACCAGCACTTTTTGATTCAATAAATTATCTTCCACAACCAACACCTCTAACGGTACCTCCTCTCCTTCTCCACCGTCATCTTGATTTCCTTTCGTGCTTCTTTTAATAGTCAAAGGAGACAGCCGAGAGCTTATCCTCCTCATTGTCAAAGGTCTTATGGGAATCTTCGCATCATTTTTCTTCACCGCCATCCTATCCGTCACGTTATGTACCGTATCCTCATGACTCAAACTCGATATTTCAAATCCACACGCCTCTCTGAGCGCATCATCCCTCAACGCCATCTGTAAATCCTTTTTCATACTATCTTCCGAAGCTTGCAAATCAAGGGGCGGAGTCGTCCTCCTTGTCTTCAAATAGAATTGAAACGTGCTTCCTTTTCCCCGTTCGCTATGAACTCCGATTTCACCACCTTGCATTTCAGTAAGTTGTCTCGAGATAAAAAGTCCCAATCCACTTCCCCCGTATTGCACGTGGGTTTTTGGAGACGCTTGCATGAAGAGATTAAAAAGATTCGCCTTTTCGCTTTCCGAAAGGCCTCTACCGGAATCGGTGACGGTGATAGAGATATAAAGGACTTCCCCATCTCCCCATTCACCTTTTACAGTTTGATCAGAGCTGCTTTGATGCTTAGGTACATATTCGACAATCGATTCTTGGGAAGATGGCCTTTCGAGAGAGGCGGCCATAGTGACGGTGATCCAACGGACTTCTTCAGTTCGGGTAAATTTGATGGCGTTAGTCATAAGATTTAAAAGAACTTGCAGAACTCTGCTTGGATCTAATAAGGTCCAATCTACGTTCAATTTTCCGATGGAATCATGTTGGACGAAATCCAATTTGGTATCAGCTTGTTTGAGTTCTGATTCAAACATTTTGAGAGCGTTATGGATGATGTGTACCGGCTGAGAGGGTTCGGGGGAAACAACAAGAAGGTTGCTGTCTAATCTTGAAAGAGTCAAGATATCATCAATAATACGCTTTTGATGCATGGCACAGTATATGATTGTATCTGTAGCTTCAATGGCACTACTTATTAGATGCGTTGGCGGCTCGGTGGATGTTGATTCATGGACTTTCTCAAGGCCACTGAATTTTTTGATCGAGTCTTCATATTCATGCAGTGAAGAGAGGATTTCATCGGCACAACCGATTAATGCTGACAGTGGGTTGCGCATTTCATGGGAGGTCATATCAATAAATCTCTCTTGCTGCCTCCTCATTTCCAGGGCTTGTTCCATTTTCGCTCGTAGTTGATTTTCTGACCACTTCAACTCTGTAATGTCCGTAATACAACTCATGATCGTAGAAACATTACCTTCATCGTCCAGATCCGGATATAAAGTGAGTAAGAGATGAGTCTCCGTCCACTGCTCTTCACCATCAGTAGTCAGCTCTGGGGCTCTCCACGGCTTATCAATTCGTGTCTGAAATGTGAGAGGCTTCTTCTCTTCAACACAATCAGACCAAGCTCTTGTCACTGGACCGAATTCTCCGGCCACTAACACTTTCTCCCAGTCGACCTTCAAGCTTCCAACCTCTAATTTTGTCTGGGATTTCCAGAGATCGTTTGCTGTCAGGGCAGTTCCATCAGTCTTTAGGATTGCGAGCCCAACAGGGATTCGTGTTGCAAATCGTCCAAAGTTCTTCTCACTTTCGGTAAGTTGATGTGATAGAATTTCCCTATCTAATGCCTCCTGTTTCGCAAGTGCCAACCGTCTTTCCACTTCCTGGCGGAGGATGATAGCAGAGAGTTGAGGAGTCGTTACTTGCTTTGACAAAATTTGTATCCACTCTTGATAATCTTTATCATAGGATACTCGAGGATTCAATGCAATGACAAGAAAAGCAAGAACACTTTGTGCCTTGGAATCCGTTATCGGACAAATAACTACATGAGTTGGTTCGCCAAATCCTCGAAACTGTATCCCATCCAATCTTTGCTTCATCTCGGGATCCATAGGCACTAACACGCTCTCCATTGTGTTCATAGCTTGGTTGAATGGCTCAGTCATCCAGTTTTGATCATATGCTAGATCAAAGCCCGAAGGTGCAATGGAGTGTCCTTCGGGTATGCCAACAGAGCCTTCAAAAACGCAAGGTACAGTTGATGGAAGTGGACTTGATGCTTCGGAAGATTCAGAAACCGAATATAACAAGCAAAAAGGCGCGTCCTTATCAGCCAGCTCAAGTCCTTGGATCAAATGATTCCAAAGATCACGAATGCTTTGGGCTTTCGATAAGTGTTCGCCCAGAGCACGGATGATGGCCATTCGTCTGTATCCAATTACTTGACGTGTAGTTTCATCAATCGTGGTCCGTACAGCAATAACATGTCCTTCATCCTCACAGATGATCGGGATGAATTTATAAGTCATGTAAGTTTCCTCTTCAAACCCATGTCGATGAAGGAGAAGAAGAACATCATTCTGAATAAGTGCTTTGCCTGTCTCTTTTTGTGCTTCGATAAGTACGTCGAAATAGTCCCATACCTCTGCAAATCCAATACATATATTTTGCCCTTGTGATGCAGGATGTTTATCACCGATAAGTTGAGTAAATGGTTCATTGTAAATAATGGTGCTATCATCCCCCCACAAAATTGTGGCCTATCTATTAGATCAGCTATGACGTCCTCTCACATATAAAATTGATCGACAACAGAAAATAACTGTCAAAGTCAGAAATTGTAAATGAAAGACTCACTGGGTTTGGATCTGCAAAACACAAAAGTACCATAGAACGAAGCTGCTTCGACCATCCATTCATCGGACCCAGAGGACTTTTTTCCCAATCGACATCCACGGTAAATTGTTGAAATGGAGTCAACTCCATTGTCCGTGGTTCTGATATCCAATCGAAATTCTTCCGTTTTGACTTCTTTGCACCCCCTTCACGTGCTGCTCCCAGCGCGGTATGTCGATCCATGTTACAAGTTGAAGAAACTTCTTCAAAGAAGAATGCCTTGAGTCCCAGCTGGTGATCTGATTCCGCATAAAGAGTTTGCCCTGGTATCAAAATGTAAGGAAATCTGGGACGACAAAATTAACACTCTGATGTCCAAGCCGCGGTAGAGTATGTATTCGGTCAAATTGGAGCATCAGTGGCGAGCGTAGAATTAATCATCCAACAATTGAACCGGTGGGAAAGTTCAGGTTATTGTGATGATAATAAAATTGACATGATTATTGAAAAGCGATAATAGAACATAAAAAATTTCAGCTTGTCTAAAGAATGCCGACAACAAAAAGGAGGTTAGGAACTAGACTTGTGCGTGGCTGTGGTGGTCGTGTGAATTTGGAAACCTGGAAAAGCACTAATGAGTGTTCTAGAATGGCCTTAAGCTCGATTCAGTCGGAGTTTTCAGTCCGTTTCAAAACAATTCACGTGAATGGGGGGAGTCTAGATCATATTCCAAATTCATCTAAGTATCCACAGAGTATATCTACACATACTTCACTTGCTTTATAGATTTGATCTTGATAAAGTTGTTGATGCTAACGTCCTTGTTGACAGGTCACAAAAGTTCTTTTGCATAGATACACACAATATTGTTCTCGCAAATGATGGCAAGAAGTCCCAAGCGTAACCCGATACACACAATATTGTTCTCGCAAATGATGGCAAGAAGTCCCAAGCGTAACCCAAAATTGGAAAAGTAATTGATGGGGAAATGGTTGATACAAGTAACATGATATTGGCCACCAATCCGCCCGAAACCCTTATTCATTCTCATCAGTAGAAAGGACAATTCTCCCATCATTGTTGAATGGGTGTTCCTTCGAATAGCTCTCCTCATGAGGATGATCAGCTATACCAAATTTCAAATTATCCCCCTGCAAACACGAATGGCCAGATTGATAAAACACAGGATGGAAAAGATGCGAATTGCCGGCGGCATTGCGTCTTCTCTCAGTAATGATAGATATTGCATCACCTAAAGTTGCCGGAGTATTGTGACGTGTAAAATCCAACCCTCGGGAAAAAATATATTCTGTCCTTTCCGACTTGGTAAAAGTTTGGTCGTAAAGATAGATAAAATCTGAAGGGTCATATCTCAGAAGATTTCTCACAAGACACCGGTACCATTCTCCATATCCCCACGCAATCTTCTCAATTGCGTGAGGTGTAAAATTGTACTGAGATTGTATGGTCGAATCCGATGGAAAAAGATCTAGTTCAATGAGCTTGACCACATGCTGTAGAAACTCAGTGAGCTGCAATATTTCAATTGTATCAAATGATTCTATCAGACGTAAGCGAGGGTCAGATATGACCTCAACCGGAGGAGAAAACCAAGAGCCCATGCCACGGGAGCCTGAGAGACGACCGGGGTTGAACTGAACGTAGATTTCGTCGTGAAAAAGAGTAGCATAAGTCCAATAATTGTAGATAGCCCGACGTAAACGCTGTTGCTCATGAAGCCAAAGAAATCTCCTGTCCTGGTAATCAAGGCGCCATCTAAATTGTGGAAAGATCTCGACAAATCTTGAAGCAGCTTTGCCAAATTTCATCATTTTGCTCAATAATTGGTTCGAGAGATGGGGCTCGTCTGGAACTTTTATAATACGATCGACGGCAATATTTCGGCGTGCTCCTGTGCCGACAAGACTTCTACCTTTGGTTGAATCATCGCTCATGACCAATTTCACCAGGCTAGGAATTGGACCATATTCATTGTCCAATGCTTGCCTTATGATGGGCATACGTCGTCCACGTAGCGCATTGTAATTCTGTTTGGAAGTCTGGGACAAATGGAGAATATCAATGAGGTCGGAACACTCATATATTCTCTGTAGTAACTCGGTTGAAAGATTCGCGATGGACATGTTGAATATATGCTTTTGGTACGTTTGGGATGTTTTGTTTTATTTTGTGTTATATGATGAAAGTTTCTGAGAACATGGACAGATTGTCAGAATGTATGCTAAGAGATTTGTTGGACCTGACTTTACTCACCTCTCTATTAAGTCGGGCAAGCCTTCCGCTGAAGGAGGAGTTGCCGGTTAACTGTTGTTAACTTTCAATTGCTTCAACTCTGTACTTCCCGCTCTATCGCCAGAAAGTCGATTGAATAAATTGGGCTTATCGGTATATGATAAATGCTGCGCTATTGAAGAGCGCGAACCGCAGTGATGGATAGATAACCACCAAACGGCAACGGATTTATAAGAAACTAGATTTGGAACACCCCGACATTGGGGCTATATGAATTGCAGGTGGCATCTTTCAAGCTTCTGCGGTTTGGAAATGACAGTCTGACCCGACCGAAAAGTGATTGATAAATCATGACGAACGTAGTTGCAGAGAAGGAAGCACAATAGATTCAGGAAGTGATGATGTCTACTACCTCGCTTATGTAATAATTAAGATAGGGATCTCTATCGGGGACATCGAATACGAGATATCCCAAAGCATCACGACATTTCATAGAATGATTTTTAGTATTCTGCTATTTCACCCAAGGGCTATATTAATCAGACACTTAAACTCTCTATCTGTGCTTGAGTGGTATGATGGCTTAAACAAATGTGATATATATGGATCAGCATTGCACACAAATAAAACCAGCTCTAGCTCTTTGTGAAGCCAACAGGAAATGCAGACTTCTATAAGAATGCCCACTCTATCGAAAAGCTTTCAGTATCTCAAACATATCAGAGTGAGCAATCAAAATGAAGACTGATTTAAATTATCTTGTACCTTGACTTTAATAAGCTAATAAGACGCCCCCAAAATATGCAATCTTCAAAACATGGCATGACCAGCAAATTCTAATATTCCCCCCTCGCAATACATGCGCAGCATATCCTTAGGAATAGGCTTGTTGACTATTCTAAACATTCTCCCCAACCTTTCAACTAGACTAGCTCACGATCGCTCATGAGTTCCATCACAGGGAATTTGCAAACTTCGGTCCTACCTGAGCAAATAATGATATCCCTTGCCCCAGATTATTTACACAAATTGAGTCTCCATCATTGTTGACATATTACCACCATCAATATCAGTCGCCGGAATCTCATCCCCCATCACCATAACCTGGTCATCTACCGCTTTCTCATCAAACTTTGCAAGCATCCACTTCTTTGCCCTCGGCTGATGTATCTGCAACATACTTGCCAAGTCCGTCTCTTCACTTCGCACCACCTTTCCAAATCGCTGTTTTTTAACCTTCCTAATGCTTTCTTCGTCATTCCAACACGCATGTTTGCCAGCAACGTAAATCTCACTATTTGCCTTGTACCAACTACTTAGAGCTGAATCCGTTTCGCTCTTAACAGGTCGAAGACTACCAGTTATAAAGGCAAGTATCCCGGCGAGACGATTACGGCAATCTCTAGAGGTTAGTAACTGTTTGATACCAAGATAAGAGTCGCCAACGCCCATAAGGATGATATTATCTGAGTCATAAAGTTGGATGAAATTGTCCCAAATATAGCAAACAAGATCTTTCATTTGACTTTCGAGCTCAGTCATACCAGGGTGGGAAGGGTAACGACTGGTGGCAGGAGGGGCGATGTCTGTGTTCAACGGGATGTTGATATCCATTACACCAATTTTGTTTTCAATAGCCCAGGCGATAAAATCATTAACTGGAGGTTCGACCTAATTTGATTAGCTAGGCAGATACTGTATAGCATAAAAGGAGAGACTTACAACAAAGGCGTTATGTAAGGCGATTTGAGCTGTGTCTGGATCAGGGGAAGCGTGTAATGTCGGACTAGAATAATCAGCAGACATCATTAATAAAAATGAAGAGGGGCCTTACGGATCATGAACGATTATCAGTAATCTTTTCGCAAGATTGATATATGGGGTAACCATAACTTGATTGTCAAAGGATCTTGCAAGTTGATGCCGTTGAATCCACAAGGAAGTCATCCGGTAGTTCGTCTTCAACGTGTTGCTTTGACCATTTCTGATTTGATCATCAAGACGAAGGGCTCTTCTAAATTTTGGTTCCTTGTAGTCAACGACTCCAGATCGCATACATTGCCAATATTTAGATTGATAGTACTTGACTTCTTCGAAGACTCCGGCAGCGGTTCTATTCAATGGTGGAATAGGAAGCCTAATTGGTGGTTCTCCCATCAAAGTTTTGGCGACTGCAAGAGCAGATTGTGATATTGCTGCTAAATTATAACCTCCCTCGAGACAAACTGCCACTTTTCCATCAGCAAGAGACATGAGCATATGGGTCATGTGAGAATAGCAGGCTGGTGTTACAAAACATCCTCCAAGTTCGTCTCCCGCGGCAGCGTCAAATCCTGCAGAAATAATGACAAGGTCCGGATCGAACTCTTGGGCAATAGGCATGACAATCCTTTGGAATGCTGCCATGTACTCTCCATCTCCCATACCTTGAGAGACCCATCCGATATTGACATTCTTGCCAAGGCCGGGTCCACGACCGACTTTATCGTTACCACCATCGGGAAGGCTAGGATCATCAGGTTGGCCAGGATAAAATTGGCCATTGTCATATACATGGAGTGAGATATATAAGACGTTTGGATCGTCGTAAAACATGTTCTGGGTGCCGTTTCCATGGTGAATATCCCAATCCAGGATCAATACCTTTCTACATATCTCAGGATAATCCGCCATACAGACTTTAGCAGCGATAGGCACGTTATTGAAGACACAAAATCCTAGTGCTTCATTCTCTTCGGCGTGATGTCCAGGTGGTCGAATGATGGCAATAGCATTTTTTACATTCCCCACAACAACATGTTTGCAAGTTTCTATCGCACCACCTGCAGCGACAAGTGCAGCGTCGTAAGTACAAGGTCCAACATAAAGAGACTTTCGGCCAGTATCATATCTTTGATTTGCCTCGCGCAATTCTTCAGAGGTCATGCTTAACAAGGACTCAACCCAGTCATAATGGAATGCAGTATGTGCCAGACAGATCTCGTCTTTTCGAGCTAATCTTGCCATGATACGCTGCATGTACTTATTAGGTGATTCCTTGAGAATTTTCTCGACGTTTTCCGCACTACCAGTATAGACTAAGCCAGCGTCTTTAAAGGCTCTCATTATATGTTCTATCCGTCGAGGGTCTTCTGGGTGTGCCGTATTATCTGAATAGTCTCCAGAGGTGTGTAACTTCATTCGATCGTCATAACAAACCCCAGAAGGGAGATATGCTTGGCGTGGAATAGCTATAATCTTTGTGTCTTCTGATGATGACGAATACAAATCATCCTCTGGGTCATGATAGTCATAGGTTATTGCCATGTCTTCCGTAGTAGTTAGGACCCTGGGGTCAACAAATCCATTGCCATTACCGTTTGACAATACCTCGTTGATAGATCCTGTATGGATATTTTCATGTAGTTGAATCTGTTGCTGTTGTAAATGCATAAGTTCCTGTGTATTCGGCTGCATATCTAGATCACTGCTTGACTGCAGTAACGGGGGTCCTAATGTGTCCATTATTGACCGACCAACCCGTCACCAGGACTGGTATTCAGTAGATGTTGAAAATAAACGACTGAAAGGTATGGCCTGTCATGCAAGAGGTCGAAAATATGCGACGTTAAATCAAAATACAAGCCCTCAGGCCTTAGCAGCAGACAAGGAGCTCTTTGGGTACGAAACACCAAGATACTGAAATGCCGTAGTCTTTCTTGAAATTGCGAGAATAGGTCTGGGCGGTTGAGGTCAAGAAGCTATGAACCGTCAGGATATTTGTAACCTTATCATGCAAACTTGAAAGGATAGAGGACACCCAACGCCGAAAAGTAATGGATAAATACGGTCAAAGAAGACAGGAGCTGGATCATTGTAGATGGATCCACTCCAAAACAGTGGGAGATACCTGGGGATGTGATATAGAAGCAGTTTGATAAACTGCATATACACATCATCATCATCCAGAAAATCCCAAAAGTACTCCATTTCCATATTACACGATGAGTTTTGGATCATAGGTGAGTAGAGAGAAAAAAAAGAGGAGAGTCATGTGACCTAAATGTGAGGAAAGGACAGACATAAATTCTTTGATATCTCTTGTAAAATCTAATAACAGAGTTGTACTTCTATAGAGGTTTCTTGAATCCACTTGATCCATACAAGACAACGATAATGGAGTGCGAAGAATGATTGTTGATTGAGAACAGAAATGAAGTATGTTAACTTACCGAGACAATGATGAATGGGAATGGGATAGCGGTTATCCGAAAGAAACAATAGTTTCCAGGTATTGGGAGCCGAGAATAATGTAAGAGAATGGCTGGCTGTTCGAGTGTTTGGAAAAATGTTATCTCGAGTCCGACAATACAATATTGTCGAGTTCACAAGTTTATGGATGGGTATTGTTTGTGAAGTTGCAGGAGAAGGAGAGATGGATTCCAAGTCGAAGCACCCGAGCCGACGAAATGTTGTGGCCTGGAATTATAGGCAATAGAATTAACCTTAGCACGTAAGTGCCATCTAGCATAGCAAAATTCGGGACATCAAGAGAATGCAATGTATTTTTTCAATATTTGACATCAAATCTGACAGTCGTTATTTAGATTTGAGATCAAACACAAATACTCAAAGGATTTTGCTTTTTCTTAGTGCTCATAAAACTGAGCTTTAAAAGGTCTATTGATATTACAATTCAAGATCGAAATGTTAGTCTAAGTATCTGATTTTATTTGAGTGATTTAGTGTACCGCTTTTTTCGTACATGTGGAGAGGGGCTGTGACTTTAAGGGAGGTTCTAGCCCAATGTAAATCCAATCAAAGATTTCCTACTTCTCCATATTTTGAGCCCCTTTAAAGGTTCTCATACAGTTGTCATTCGGCAATTGCTTGTATCAGCGGTTAAGCTTGGTGGTTATCCTGCCGAGAGCGATCGTAAGAAAGCAAAGGTCCTGGGTCTTCAATCCATTGACATGAATCGATTCGAAGTACATTGACGACAAAGATTATTTTCTGTATTCGGCAATAGAAGGGTTCATTACAATTGAAGTCCTTATCCAGTTGAAGGAAAGGTCAAGGGACGCGGCGGCACTATTGTTCATAGGATTCTACTCCAACATACCTTCTGAAATGGCATCAGGCAAAGGGTGTGGAGAGTTGGTAGACATTCGTGTGAGCGGAAATCATGATCTCATACATCACATCAATAACAGCACATGTAAAATGTGAGAAATTCACATGATAAGACGGTATTATGTTCTTGAGCTTGTTTTCATTCTTAACGCTATCATAAGGCATTCATCGTTACTCGGTAATAACTATTCATTTTAATGAGATTTGGCATCTGACATGGTATCAGAGCTTGCCTTTCAAGAATTCTCTGCCAAATATTGGTCAGAGTCTTCACTACTTCCTAAAGACTGAGCAAAAATCTCCTACTGCTTGTTATCAACCTTGGAGATGTAATGGAGGAGATCAAGGACACGACGAGAGTAACCCCACTCGTTGTCGTACCAGGAAACCAACTTGACGAAGTTTGCGTTGAGGGAGATACCGGCCTTGGCATCGAAGATGGAGGAGTGGTTGTCACCGTTCATGTCAGTGGAGACAACATCGTCCTCAGTGTAAGCCAATATGCCTATATTACGATTAGTAAATTAAAACAGAAGAAATATTAATAGAGTAACTCACCCTTGAGAGGACCATCAGCAGCCTTCTTGATAACGGCCTTGATCTCATCATAAGAAGCACCCTTCTCAATGCGGACAGTCAAGTCAACAACTGAGACGTTGGCAGTTGGAACACGCATGGACATTCCAGTGAGTTTGCCGTTAAGCTCTGGGATAACCTTTCCGACGGCCTTGGCAGCACCGGTGCTCGATGGGATGATGTTTTGAGCAGCGGTACGTCCTCCACGCCAATCCTTAGCGGATGGACCATCGACGGTCTTTTGGGTGGCGGTGTAGGAGTGAATGGTGGTCATCAAACCTTCGATGATGGTGAACTCATCGTTGATGACCTTGGCGAGAGGAGCCAAGCAGTTGGTTGTGCAAGAGGCGTTGGAGATAACATCAACATCACCCTTGTAGGTCTCGTTGTTGACACCCATAACGTACATTGGGGCATCGGCAGAAGGAGCAGAGATGACAACCTTCTTGGCACCACCCTTCAAATGGGCCTTAGCCTTCTCGGTGGTGGTGAAAACACCGGTGGACTCGACAACGTAGTATGCCTCAGACTCAGCCCATGGGATGTTGGCTGGGTCTCTTTCGGTGTAGAACTTGACCTTCTTGCCATTGACCTCCAATCCATCGGAAAGGACCTTGATATCACCCTTGAATTGACCGTGGGTGGAATCATACTTCAACATGTATGCCTGTACATAAAATAGATTAGCTCGGGTCCTTGAAATCTGCGGGAGGTCCGATAGCGGAAACTTACAGCATATTCAGTCTCGATAAAAGGGTCGTTGACAGCGACGATGTCAATGTCATCATGCTCAATAGCATTTCTGAAGACGATACGTCCGATACGTCCGAAACCGTTGATACCAACTTTAGTAGGAGCCATTCTGAAAGTAATGTTAGAAGATGTTTTGAAGAAAGGTCTTTCAACTCGTTTGTTGACCAAGATAGCTTGGGAAGGCTAAAATATAGCTTCGGATGTAGCCGTTGAAGCTATGGATGATAAAGAAATGACGGCGGCGTTGAGGTTATGATGAGATGGATGTAAGAATACTCACTTGTATGATTATTTTGATGATTCTTGAGATGATTTTGTAAAGGGAGACTTGATTGTTTATGTAGGAAAAGGAAGAAACGGAGGGGAGGGGGACATAAAGTTGGTGGGGTCATTGTTGAATCAATTTTACGGTAGCGCCCCTCCTTTAGCGTGGAATGAGTGTATGTGGACCGTGCCGTGTATTGGATGATCTGGATTTCTGGATCCCTCCCTCACTCGCCCCTCGTCCCTCAAATAATGATTCAAATGCTGGTATGTACTAGGTGTGTCCTCTGCAACGCCAAGTTTCATTATCAAAGTCAGTGTTCACTTGTTGAAGTATGAAGTACCTACGTGTTACTCTTGATCTTCTTGGGTTTGTTTGAGAGGTTGAAGTTAATACCCAGCTAGGTATCTAGTCTGAAGATTACTTTTTATATCCCTAGTCATTACAAGGTTTTGTTACATGTATGATGGATGATAAACTTTCATGGCATCTGTTACTCGAACTTACTTCTCGTTGATGTCCACCAAGAGGTGACATATGGGACATATGGGACTTGCGAGATATGGAGCAGATGGGACTCGTGAGATATGCAACATATGGACATACGGGATATACGGGACATACTACCCAAGCACCTACTGACAAGCTTTGAGCACTTCTATTTGTACGTACTGGGTAAGCAAGCTTGTTAGGTATTGAGTGTGAAGTATCCAAACGGGTTGTCCAGACAGGTACTTAACGGCCACCCCACATCAGCCGTTTACAATATCGTTACCACTCCTACAAGTTATCGCTCGGCTCCTCGAACCCCTCAACCCCTCAATTACCATAGGTTGATATCATGATATATCGGAATCAGTCGCTGGATGCTTTTAGACCACGGTAACTCGGGTATGTAGAGTGAGACAGTCTATTAACGTTTATCCGTGTTATCGCGATCCGAGGAGAAAGAATGTATCTTCCATGGGATAGTTATCTGATTCTCATGGTATTTATAGAGAAGATACATAAGTCTATACATCCGGACATGCAGACATCTCGAAATCCAAAATCTCACCCCATCTTACCATCGTTCAAACTTTCGCTTCTCAGATTTCTTGGTCTTTGAGTCCAAAGCAATGCTCTCGCACCGTATTGTGTCAGCCAATACTGAGCACGATGAATCACTCCACTCACTTAATACACGTGCTGCTTCGAGATTTTCTTCCTACATGATAACTGTTGAGTGAGTCAAATGGCTTTATAATAAGAGTTCTAATCACAATCAATTTCACGTCATCTCGTAAATTGATGAGGATGAGATATTGAGCTTTGCTGATAATAAGGGATATAAATCTCTGGACTCCGTTCTCCTACGGCCTCATTTTCGGACTTTCTATTTTTCTCTGATAACGCCCCACGTACGGTGGCCAAATTGTGAAAAGCTTATATTTAAGGGTTGAGAAAACAGCTGCAGAGAAGGCTCTTGGGAGCGTGAAGGGGAAAAGATTTGCTTGCTTGTACAAAGTGTAATAAGTGGTAGCCCTGGCGTCTGGAGATGATTGAATTGCATGTAAGTCTTACCTCTATGAGACTACCACGCGTGAAGAGGAAGAGGCACTTCCAAGTTCTCACACAATATATGGTTCAAGCTTCCAGTTCCCAGATAGAGAAGATAAGCAGATGCCAGCAACCCAAATGTTATAAATCAAAACTGTCACTTCATATCGGATCACTCTTGCAAAAGGTATTAGCAGCAAATTGTTCATTAAGGTCACGTTTCTTATGTTCACATGACCATCACCAAATGTTCTTGATACCCTTGCGAGGAAGCTGTACATACCTACTTCACCTAGGTACCTACCTAAGGTACTATCTTAACTCACTCCTCACTCCCCTCTTCCACTTTCAGGGCAAAACTCGGGTCTCAAATAATCTATTTCATTCGATCAGAGACAAGATCGATGGCCACTAAACTTTTGCACCCCAGGTCAACAGCTGTCGAAGGATATATCTCGGGCTAGCAACCATGTACCCCACAATTGAAGAACTCGTCCCCCATTTCAAGGTGCGGAATTGATACCAATCTATAAACAATCTAGAATACTTGATGAAGATATATCGAAAATGATACATTGGTATAGAACTCGAAGACGGCGCCGGATTATCCAAAAGGTGACTGGGTCTATGCACCCGCTGACAAATGATGCAATCGCCAATCGCGGGATCTATCATCCATGCCGTCGGTAAATAAATTTATTATGTTTTTGTCTTTCCCTCTTTTTCGATATCGGATTCGGAACATCTAATCATATCATAACGAACGAACGTTGCTACCATGGCTGGATACCTCACGGTGTATACATGTACATACAAATAGATGTCCAATTCTTCCAAAGTCCATTCTTTGGAGAGCAGAGTTTTTATATCCATCTCAAAATATCCGATATTGTTTCACAGCAACCTCACCATCCAATCGACATTTGATAATTTATAAACGTGCAAAAAATTTAATCATGGCCAACCGGATGACGTTGATTCGTCGAACCCAAGAGTCTTGAATCTCAACCAAATGAAGTTGCAACGAGATCAAAAGAGCTTCCATCATGGCTTAGTAACTCATCATCTATTCTAGCCCAGAAAAATAAAATAGTTCACATCCCGAGAACTTCAAATCCCCCAAACTTGAAGATATAAACTTACCACGTGACTCTACAAAGTGGACCTCTAGTTCGCTTAACGAAAAGCGTCTCCAAAGTCATCCGATGCCCCATCCTCCACCACCCATTCCAACTCGTACGTAGCTCTATCCTCTACAATTTGTATCAAACACTCGTCCGCACGCATAACACCTCTCGAAATCTCCAACCCATAATCTCCCCCGTCGCAAACATGCTCCGCACATCAATTGTCCGCGCCGCCACGGGCTCTGTGGTTCGAAACCAGGTTCGATGTGCTTCCACTCATGCGATCAGTAATCCTACTTTGGCCGATATCGAGAAGAGGTGGGAGGGTATGCCACCGCAGGAACAGGCCGAGCTTTGGATGAGCTTGAGGGATCGCATGAAGATTAATTGGGCCGAGTTGACTTTACAAGAGAAGAAGGCTGGTACGTGAGATTCTTTTTTAGCTGGGACATTTGGGGTTCATGTACAGAGGTTTTGGAGGGAGGTATATCCTTGGATAAATTGCAGAGAGCTGCAGATTGAAGCCACTTACCTGATGAGGCTGTTGGGTGGGAGGTTGCGGAGGTACAACATACTGGGATGGGCATGGAGATTAAAACTGGGATCGAGATTGAGATGGAGGAAAACGACAAGGCTAACAGATATTACGAACAGCTTACTACATTGCCTTTGGCGCCCACGGACCAAGAGCTCAAACTCCCCCAGGAGAAGGATGGAAGGTCTTTGGATACACAATGGGTGGAGTTGGTGTTTCCCTCGCCCTTTTCTTGGCAATTAGATCATTCGCAAAGGGATCTCCATCTACCATGAACAAGGAGTGGGAAGAGGCTACAAACGAATACTTGAGAGTATGTACAATCTTTTTGATATTCCCACAAATCTCATTTTCAACCGGGTTCTCCGTCCTTGGGCTTGGGATTTATCCAAAAGATTCAAGAATATAAAACTAACAACTCTCTACCACAGTCTCAAAACTCCGAACCCATCAGTGGTCTCTCCTCCGAAGGATACTCCGGCCCTGGTCAAGTCCAATCTGCACCAAAGAAGAACTAAATTCTCCCTCATACCAACTATACATAATGCCAGAAAAGAAAAGAATACATACCCTACTCGCAACGGTGCTATTCGAAAAAACTACCTGCATACAAACTCTTATTTCTTTTGTTGGATAGATGTGAGCCTGGAGATGGATGGGACAGAAAATGAATGGGATCTGCATGAGATGATGAAGAGGGGAGGTTTCTTGTAAAGGAAATCTTGGCGGATGGAAAGCATTGTTTTGTGCATAGAATTGGAGGGTGGGAAAATAAATCGGAAGGGTGTGGGAGAGAAGTGAGCGAGGGAGATGAAAGATCGAATCTTACAATGAACCTTTTTGTACAACAGTTCGTGAATGATTCCCTGTTTTTTGCGTGTGCGTGCTTAAAAGAACTGGCTTTTGTGAATGCTTGGATTAGGTAGATTGAAAAGTTGACTGATTTCAAAACGGGACTGGGTTTTGCAAATCATATCCTCAATCTGTAGTATTACATCACAGTATCGTATACACATACGAATGACACACATACACAGCCGCAAGAGTCAAATACCATTTCCTCATTTCCATATATAGCTACCAGGCTATTCAAATACACGGTTATTCGCTCATCATCACTATCACTATCACCTTTTTCCTACTTCCCTGTTTTCTTTCTCCCTTGTTTACATCAAAACCCCGCAAGCATACGCGCCAAACTCCCTCCCTACCTCCGTACCTGTACAGTGAAATCCTTCATCCATGTTGAAGGTATGCAAATAGTGCAGGTGAATTGATCAGCAAATAGAGGATGAAATTGGGGACGAATTCGAAGACAAAATAAAATCAACAATAGATACCAAAAATCAGAATCGGGATTAGATTAGATTAGATTGTGGCAACCGGCTTTCCTCCCTCTCCGGTTGAGATACGAGATTATTCGAAGACTTGTTTCTTTTTCGAATCAATCGATGAATCAGCCCTGATTTGGAGTCCGGGTTCTCTTCTTTGCTTTGTGTTCTTTTTCTTGATATGTTGGGCTGTGGATTTATAGTTGTTCTTGGGCGCTGGACGAACATGTTTCTGCGGGATGTGATGGAGACTCGAGGGTGAGCTTCTCATCTTCCAATTTGCATTCCATATCTCAGATCTCACATCCCGCTCTCAACTACAACTCTATACTCCTGGAAACTGTCCATGGATTTGTCGTCATCACCATTCTCTCCTTTCCCATCGTTTTGCTTTTCCGAAATTCCATTCCGCTGTTTCCATAGCTCTTCTTCGAGCTCGATTGCTTCTTCGAAGATATTTCTTTGATTGCGTGGAAAACAGCGGGGGAGACGTGTTTCGCCCGTTCCATCTATTCCTTCATTGTCGATACTTAAGGAGGGTGAGGATGTAGGTTCGAGTCCCTTGACAAATGCTTCGTCCACGAGGACATAACGGATATTAGGTGATGAGGGACCTATAAACATGATTTCCTGCAACACATTTTCCATAATGGAACGGAGACCTCTTGCTCCGATGCCTGTTCCCTTTTCTCCTTTTCCTTTGTTTTCTTTAGAGGAAGGAGAAGAGGAACCGTAGAGAGCTCGAGAAGCAATGGCTTCTAGTGCTAATTTGGTAAATTGGAGGATGATACCATGAGAACCGTAAGTTTCAAATAGTGCTGTGTACTGCTTGACCAAAGAATTGCGGGGCTCGGTGAGAATGGATACTAATTGAGGAAGGGAAAGGGGAGAGAGCGACGTGGTGATTGGAATTCGGCCAAGAAGTTCGGGTATGAGACCATAGGCTTGGAGGTCGGTGGGGGTGGCATGGACAAGGATATCCTTTTGGTTTTCTTTTGATGGGTTGGAGGAAAAGAAGGACGAAGATGAGGAGGAGAGGGAGGACTTAAACCCGATGGATGAACCGGTTGAAAGTCTTTGAGAAATTATTTTCTCGAGCCCGATAAAGGCGCCGGCGAATACGAAGAGGATGTTTGAGGTGTCAATCGTATATTGTTCGCTTCTAGCAGGGGAACTTGATTCTCGGCCTCCACGGTCCATGCTTCGGTTTGAGTTAGAAGCGTTTTTATCAGATTTGGCGTTTACAGTGACAGTGGTTCCTTCAATCATTTTGAGAAGACCCTGCTGGACACCTTCGCCTGACACGTCACGGCCATGGGTCATAACAGCCGGTTTGGCTAATTTGTCGATTTCATCGAAGAAGATTATTCCCGTTTCACATTTTTGGATGGAATTGGACGAAGCTAAGAGTAAACGTTCAATGGATGATTCAATATCAGTTCCAATGTAACCAGCCTGGGTTAGGGAAGAACAATCGACTGTTGCAAAGGGAACTTCGAGAACACGGGCTAGAGTCTGGAGTATGTAGGTTTTCCCGACACCAGACGGTCCTAATAACATGAGATTTGATTTCTCAATGATAGTACGGTTTTGAGAAGGGTCTTCTAGTGGTCTGGAACCTAGCTCGGGTTCTTCTTCATATTCGCGTTCACGGTACGAAGCATTCAGGTCGGCGGTTTGAATGGCGTGACCAACGTATTCATCTGGTATCATGTTAGACTTTGGAAATTCTATGTGAAGTGTGGGAGCATGATTACTATCAACGGGATGACTATTACGCTCCCGTTCATATAGATGCCTCCGACTATACTGATCCCTCCTTTCCTGTTCCTCTGCTTCCTGTCTCCTCAACTCTCGAACCCGTTGGTAATGATTATAAATAGCCACACATGTGACTTTTTTTGCCCTATCTTGTCCGACAACGAATTTATCCAAATGATTCTTCAATGACAAAGGAGTGAGGCTTGGAACCCCATGTTTAGAAGCTTGAGATAGGGGACCTTTTGTTGGAGCACCTGGCTCATATGATGAAGTCCAACCTTGCCCGTCATAATCAGAGCGTCTGAACTGTGCATCTCGATAATGTCTGATGGATGAGAAATGGAGAGACCGGTGGCAAGTTCTTAGAAGTCGAGGATTGGAATGGGAGATCCGGTTGAGTCCCGATATCGGGGACATATTGTTGAATTGTATTTTCTCATCTGAGCAACAAATGGCCGTAAAGGGCTTGGGTATCAAAGAGCACGATTATCTATCAACTCTGATCATAACATGCAAGAAATCATTTGAACGTCTTGAGGCTGTACAGCAATAGCAATGCACGTGAATGATCAACATCAGAAAGCGTGAGACAATGATATGTCGATATCGGCGGCACTACGGTAACCGACGCTATGAGCATCTTGTTGCGGGGTGAGAGTTTTCTAATTGGTCCGAGCTAGTGTTAAAAATCTGGAGTGTGCGGACTAAAACGGGAAGTGGGATGAAAACAATGAATGCTGATTTGAGTGAGGGATGAGTGAAGAGACAAGAAAAAGGGTTCTTGATCAACTTTTAAGTTTTTTGACATTTGCATTTTGATTTCATACCGATATATCTCTAGTAAAAAACCTACTATAAGTAGTAAGTATCTCATAGTTAGATACTATGTATACCTAAATATAATTAAAATAACTTCACACTCCGGAGAACTTCTATTGCTTCCAACCTTGGAAGGGTATCACTACCATTTCTTCGAGAATCTTCATACGAATTCATGGATTGAATTAATAAATGGTTCAAGAATGGCTCGTCGATTTTCTCATATGACAGGGATCGACGTCACTAATGCCAAACACGCACGAGCAGGATGGCTTGCAGGCGTTTACAACAAGGTCCAGTCAGGTCAGTCCCTTCACTCCAAATTCGCTTCACTCTGCTTTATCATTTATTATCCCTAGGTAGGTCGGTACCTAAGCTCGTAATAAGGACGTCCAGGTTTATTAGTTGGGCTTGGGTTCAGGCTGGAAAAGGCGTGAGATGGTTAAATTCTCTCAACAAGTTCATCCAGAAGTAGAAGAATTGGCAGATCCTTGGGTAGGTAGGGAGGATAGGGGATCAATTCAAACAAATCAAATACACCAAACAAATCACTTCCTGCATTATCAATAGCCACTTGTTACTCGTACAATGACGAGAGAGAAAGAAAAAAAAGAGTAATAATAAGAACCCCGCAATCTGCACCGGATTTCTCTACAAAAAGAAAACATCATAAGTTGACGGAATATTTTCGTTTCTTTTCTATCTTCACTGTCAACTTTTCTCTTCATCTCTCTCGACCTACTTTAGTATCTCAAGTTGAATCGTGTATTAAGCGCCCCTCCCTTATCTTGTTTGCGCGGTTAGAAGAGAGCTAAACCATACATACCATCATACCCCCATCATCATAGCTCCTCAAATCCGGAGAGTAGAGTACTAGGAACTAGGTAGGTACGTACTAGCTCGACTTTCTCCAATAAAATACTAAATTAATTCCCAGCCTCATACAATCTGTCAAAAACATTATCTGCAAGAATGGCCAATGTAAATGAACTGGCAACTGCTTCAATCATGAAGAACGAAGCACCAAAGGGAATCCCAAACGATGGACGGGTAAGTTAAACGGTCCCAGACGATTCTCATATTGACCAATTCAGGGTTATCCAACTTGATCCATGGCTCGAACCATTCAGAGATTCTTTAAAACACAGATATTCAAAAGCACAGCAATGGATTAAAATCATCGACGATACCGAAGGTGGTATCGAGAAATTCAGCAGAGTTTGTGAAGCTCCTATAGATTTCTTGGTCACAACTAAACATACCAGGGTACCGAGAAGTTTGGATTCAATGTCGATAAGAAGAACAACATTACATACAGGGAATGGGCTCCGAATGCAACACAAGCATTCTTGATTGGTGATTTTAGTACTTCTCTCCCTCGTTCAAAACTCCCAGGACGTCGAATATTAACATCGTGTAGATGATTGGAACCGCGAGTCTCACCCTATGAAGAAGGATCCTTATGGGGTTTTCGAAATTGTTCTGCCTGCAAAGGATGGCAAACCAGCCGTCGCACATAATTCCAAGATCAAGGTGAGCGATTCTGGCTAACTATTTTATTTACCCCCGCTAACCCCACCAGATCTCTATGATTACACCTTCCGGCGAACGAATTGAACGAATTCCTGCATGGATCAAATATGTCACACAAAATCTCTCCGTCTCCCCAGTTTACGATGCTCGATTTTGGAACCCACCTGAGTCCGAACGATATGTCTTCAAGCATCCCAGACCAAAGAAGCCAGAAAGTGTTAGGGTATATGAGGCACACGTGGGTATTTCTTCCCCAGAACTACGGGTTTCCAATACAAGGAGTTCACAAAGAACATGATACCAAGAATACATCATTTGGGTTATAATGTTATTCAGCTTATGGCTATTATGGAGCATGCATATTATGCAAGTTTCGGTTATCAAATCAACAGTTTCTTTGCTGCAAGCAGTCGATATGGTACACCTGATGAGCTGAGAGAGCTCATAGATACCGCACATGGACTTGGTATCACTGTGCTGCTTGACGTAGTTCACAGTCATGCTTCCAAAAATGTATTGGATGGGCTCAATGAGTTCGACGGAAGTGACAGCTGCTATTTCCACGAGGGGCCTAAAGGAAAGCATGAGTTGTGGGATAGTAGACTTTTCAACTATGGATCTCATGAAGTCTTGAGATTCTTGCTCAGCAATTTACGATTCTGGATGGACGAATACAACTTTGACGGGTTTCGATTTGACGGTGTTACGAGCATGCTTTATACCCATCATGGAATTGGAACGGGGTTCTCGGGTGGTTACCATGAGTACTTTGGCCCATCTGTTGATGAGGACGGTGTTGTCTACCTCATGATTGCCAATGAGATGTTACACCAACTTTATCCAGAATCGTTATCTATTGCAGAAGATGTTTCGGGAATGCCCGCTTTGTGCTTACCATTAGCACTCGGTGGTGTAGGGTTTGATTACAGACTTGCTATGGCCATTCCTGACATGTGGATCAAGATCCTCAAGGAGAAGAAGGACGACGAATGGGATCTCGGAAACATCTGCTTTACTTTGACGAACAGACGTCATGGTGAGAAGACTATCGCATACTGCGAGAGTCACGATCAAGCATTGGTCGGAGATAAGTCCATTATGATGCACTTGTGTGACGCAGAGATGTACACAAATATGTCAAGACTTACAGAGTTCACGCCAATTATCGAGCGTGGAATGGCATTACATAAGATGATTCGCCTCCTGACATCCGGTCTTGGAGGTGAAGGTTATCTCAATTTCGAGGGTAACGAATTCGGTCATCCAGAGTGGCTCGACTTCCCTCGTGAAGGCAACAACAACAGCTTTTGGTATGCTCGCCGTCAATTTAACCTTCCAGATGATGATCTTCTTCGTTACAAAGCACTGAACGAGTTTGATTCCCACATGCAACATCTTGAAGCAAAGTATGGTTGGTTACACAGTGATCAAGCTTATATTAGCTTGAAGAATGAGTCTGATAAGGTTATTGTCTTTGAGCGAGCTGGTTTGTTATGGATCTTCAATTTCAACCCAACTCAAAGTTTCGTAGATTACAGAGTTGGTGTCGAACAAGAGGGTACTTACAAAGCTGTTCTCAACACTGATGCCAAGGATGTTGGAGGATTCGAAAGAATTGACTCTTCAACACGCTTCTTCACAACACCTTTTGCATGGAACGACAGAAAGAACTTTATTCAAGTATACATTCCAACCCGTACAGCAATAGTAAGTTTCCCTCTTAACATAGCTGATACAAGAGACTAATTATATACAGGTTTTGGCACTTGAATCTACGCTATAAAAATTAGTAGATAAAATGGCTATTCGGCGGGCAAGCAGGTTGAAGAAATGAGTAAAATAAAACTAGAATATGACTGAGAGATTGGAGACGGAAAAAGTATGCGGATTCTGCTTTCAATACCTACCTCTTTATGTCGATAGATTTATTTTAGCTATGTGAGCGAGCCTTTGCAGCGAAGAAAAAAAAAATAGATTATTTGGTTTTCTCCCCCGCCAATTAAAGAAAGAAATTTTGGTGGGAAAATAAATTGTGTGACGGTTCTTTGTAAATCCGACCAAGTAATACTACAAACGTACCTAGGTGATAATAAGTATCATTTCATAAAAATCGAGTGTGAATTGACCAGTTGTCCAATACATTTACAATGTATGATTTTCCAAGCTTTGATCTCGTCTCTCTGATATCGACGTTGTTGTTAATGATCTCAACTCGGGTCAAAACGGGAAGTCGGAATTTACGCCATCACGTGGGGGTATACGCTAACAATTAGTCGAGAAGCTCATTTTGCTGCTGGCTTCAATTTACCTCCTCATTTTGCAATACCATACCTCCATCAATCTTTGTATCTCCACTCACATCTTCAACGCTCTTCTCCATCCGTAAAGATGTTCAGGAGGTACGTACTTATATTTGAAAATATTTTGCCCTGTCGCAATGGGTGGCAATAGTCCAATTGAGCTGACTCTAAAACTTTCTATAGCGCCATCCAAAACTCTGCCCTCCGGGCTTCAAGAAGCGCCTTCAGACCAGCTTTGTCAACTGGCTTGAGAGCTGCTTCTGCTAGATTTGCTAGTGATAGTGCAGTACATGGCAAGATCCATCAAGTCATTGGTGCCGTCGTTGATGGTAAGTGGCATGGAAAATTCTTTCTCGGCAACGACGTCAAACTCGGGATCTAGGGATTACATGGGGGACGAGCTTTCAATACCCTGCAACTGCATACTGACCACATCTGAACAGTTAAATTCGATACCGAGAAGCTCCCACCCATTCTTAACGCCCTCGAGACCACTAACGGTGGTAACAAACTCATTCTTGAGGTCGCAGTACGTCAACAATACAAGGAATAAACAACCGTCGAATACGGACTGACAGGGATAACAGCAACATTTGGGAGAGAATGTCGTCAGAACTATTGCTATGGATGGTAAGAGAACTCGACCCGAAGGATACAAGCACAAAGATTGACTCAACTCGTTTATAGGTACCGAAGGTTTAGTCCGTGGTCACCGCGCAACCGATACTGGATCCCCAATCTCGGTACCAGTTGGTGTAGGAACCCTCGGTCGTATCATGAACGTTACTGGTGACCCAATCGATGAACGTGGACCCATTAAGTGTGACAAGAGACTTCCAATTCACGCTGATGCTCCAGCTTTCACTGAACAATCTACCGCTGCTGAAGTTTTGGTCACTGGTATCAAGGTTGTCGATTTACTCGCTCCTTACGCTCGTGGTGGAAAGATTGGTCTTTTCGGAGGAGCTGGTGTCGGAAAGACTGTGTTCATTCAAGAGTTGATCAACAACATTGCCAAGGCACACGGTGGTTACTCTGTTTTCACTGGTGTTGGTGAGCGTACTCGTGAGGGTAACGATTTGTACAAGGAAATGCAAGAGACCTCCGTCATCCAACTTGATGGAGACTCCAAGGTCGCTTTGGTCTTCGGTCAAATGAACGAGCCCCCCGGAGCCCGTGCCCGTGTTGCTCTTACTGGTGTATGTATCATTTTTCCTTTTTCCTTTTTCATCGTTTTTTTTCTATTCCACTTACCTCAGGACCTTCCCCCGCTTTTCATTCACTCCTTCCGTTTCATTGATACCTTCATAATTTTCCTTGATGCCTTCATTCCTTCCCCAACTATCTTCATGCCTTCCCTAAACACCTTCATGCCTTCCTTTGATAACTTCATACCCTCTGTCATCACCTTCCTACCTTCCCTCAATACTTTTATTTCTCCTCGTTGCACCTTCCTCTTGCTTTCACAATGGTTTTTCCACACTTTTATCTCTTTTCCCACTTCTTCTTCTTCTTCTTCTTCTTCTTCTTCTTCTTCTTCTTTTCCTTCTTCTTCTTTTCCTTCTTCCTCTTCTTCTTCTTCGTTATGTCACTACGAAGTCGAAGTCGAGGTCGAATGTCAAAGAAGGTTGGTTGAAATCGAACGGATCGTGCGGGTCGAAGCCAACGACCATGCCGAAGTCGAAGCCTACATCGAAGTCAATCTGCCACCAAATACTTGAGCGTAAACGTTGGCAGTCAATCTACAAATAGCCAATTGTTGGTCAAGTTCTCAACCAAAAGCTCGTCCTCTCCAGCGTTAATCAACCAGGTTGATTGTCTCACTTCTGAACGATCTTCTGGGTCTGTTCAATCTACAAATTCGTTTGGAATACCTGCGAGGCCGTGGGGCCGATCGTTGGCACCAGAAACTCAATCACTTCCATTGTCTCAAATCGGCGTTGACAATGGCGTTGACGGATTGACCAATATTATCACCGACAATCAAATACTTCAATTGTCCTAAATCAACATCGACAACGAGAACCTTGGCTCTATTCTTGCAGCAAACAAGCCACCTACGATAGCGTTCTTCAAAACTCTGCCTTCACCATTACCGACTCCGCAGTGGGGTGTTTATGCCTTGCTGTTTGAAAAGGATGGTCACCAGCCCATGGGTCGAGATACAGTAGAATGGATGGAAACCTTTATACTCTCATATTTCACTCAATGAAGGCATTCGAGGATGTTCTTAGCCCTTGAAGCAATGTTCACCGTCATGTTTCATGCTTGTATTCCTGCCATTACAGATATGTATCTTCAACATCTATACATCTGGGGTCGAGATACAGTAGAATGGATGGAAACCTTTATGCTCTCATATTCCGCTCAGGGAAGCCATTCGAGGAGATCTCACTCTCAGCAAAGAAGAACTTGAAGTCGTTGCTGCTATACGCGCTGCAAGAGCCACAGAACGAGGCAATAAACAGTCAAAGACATCGTTCGAGAAAACGCGCTGCTGATCCAGAAGCATATCGTTTGAAGGTCCGCGCAGACAAGAACGCATGGGCTGAGAAGAACCAGGACAAGGTCAACAAGATTGCTGCTAAGAGTCAAAACAAATCAAGGGAACTTCGTCGTTTCTATTGCGGTGTATGCGAGATTGCCTTTCAAAGTGATTCGGCTCTCAAGAAGTATACTCTCACAAACAACCACGTCAATTGTTTGGCTGGTGTTACAAAGTCTGCACCATCTGATCATGTCATCGCCACTGCTGCTGCTCGTGATGCTGCAAAGGCCAACAAGACCCATTATTGCTCAACATGCGACAAGGCTTTCGGCGATGATTTCAATTTAAGAAGACATAATGCCACACCGTCTAACGCTAAGAGGGTCGAGCGACTCAAATCTTAAACAACCTTTCACACATTTCACAACTTCTTCATCTTGGAACTAATACAACTTATATCTTTGTACAATTACTAACAAATGTTTTTATAAAGTTGACTATTGCTGAGGAGTTCAGAGAGCAAGGACAAGATGGTAAGTTTTTCTAGATCTGTTTCCATCAAAAAGTGAAATGTGCTAACTTTCTTCACTAGTCTTGCTTTTCATTGATAACATTTTCAGATTCACCCAAGCTGGTTCTGAAGTTTCTGCACTCCTCGGTCGTATTCCTTCTGCTGTCGGTTACCAACCTACTCTCGCCGTCGACATGGGTCTTATGCAAGAACGTATTACCACCACCACCAAGGGATCCATTACCTCCGTCCAAGCTGTCTACGTACCAGCTGATGATTTGACTGATCCTGCCCCTGCTACTACATTCGCCCATTTGGACGCCACCACTGTCTTATCCCGTGGTATCTCTGAGTTGGGTATTTACCCAGCTGTCGATCCCCTTGACTCTAAATCCCGTATGTTGGATCCCCGTGTTGTCGGACAAGATCACTACGATACCGCCACCCGTGTCCAACAAATGTTGCAAGAGTACAAGTCCCTCCAAGATATCATTGCCATTCTTGGTATGGATGAATTGTCAGAAGCTGATAAGTTGACTGTCGAGCGTGCCCGTAAATTGCAAAGATTCTTGTCTCAACCATTCACTGTCGCACACGTTTTCACTGGTATCGAGGGTGTTCTCGTTGACTTGAAGACCACAATTGCCAGTTTCAAGTCTATCATGAACGGAGAGGGTGATGATTTGCCAGAAGGTGCTTTCTATATGGTTGGCGACTTTGCATCAGCACGTGCAAAGGGAGAGAAGATTCTCGCAGATTTGTAAGTTATCACCATCTGAACATCTCTTGTGTAATTGCAATATGCTAACGTTCATGATTTATAGGGAGAAGCAATAGATGAGATGATAGAATGGGGATGATGTGTATAATTCCAGATGGATGAGAGATGAAGATGAATGAAAAGGGGAATGGGTAGGCAGCGTTGGAGCTTGGGCTGTGTAGAGACTTGGGAAGGTCCGAGACAGAAAAATATCCTCTGATTATCGCATCGCCTTTTTAAAAGCTAAGCCTTGTAACAACTCACCAACTATTTTCTTTATTGATGTTAAATGATTTGATGTCTGACGTCTGATTCCTTACTTGTTGGAGAATGTTTTATGGGATGTGATTTGATGTATTGTGAATGTTCTGAAGTATTGCGTGTATACTAGGTATTTATGCCATCACCTCAGACGTATGATACCAACAACTTTAGGCTTTTTATATAGCCGTCGTCGATACAACTTTGCTGATGGGGGGAAAGAGTGAGATACTAAAGTTCAATATCCTAAGTTGAATTTTACATCGAGATGCTTGGAGCATGCAAATCCAGATGCGAAAATTGAATACTTTGGGACGCTTCGAATTGTCTGGTATATCCATGGATTCGTAATGCGTTGGATCATAGAATGTTTTGAATCTATCAGACACTTTGATTGTTGAGAATATTTTGAGTCTCTGAGATACTTTGAATGTTTCAAATTCTTTCAATGTTGAAAATGTTTTGAATACTTGAAATGTTTTGAAAGATTGAGAAATCATATCTTGTGGGAACTTTCTACACTTGCTATATAGTCATGTCGAGCTACGGATGGTTGTGGATGAACTTGATATACCTAGTAAGTATACTTGTAGATATAGCATGTGTAGGTAGGTACGTGTATAGGTAGGTACATGTGTAGGTATATGTATGTATAGGTAGGTAGATACACGTAGATTCTAGGTTCCTTGAAGATCTGGATCTTTTCTTTTCTTTTCTTCGGGATTGTTATTATTATTGTTGTAGTTGTAGTTGTGGTTGTGGTTGTGGTTGTGGTTGTGGTTGTGGTTGTGGTTGTG